TAACATATAAATTCTATAATATGTAACTATATAATTATAAAAGCACCAAAAATCAAATAAGTATAAATCTAATAAAATATGTTTAGAATCTATATGCAAAAAACTACAAAACTCTAATGAAAAAGATCCAAGATCTAAATAAATGGAAAGATGTCTCATGTTCCTGAATTGAAAGACTCCATAGTATTAAGATTTCACTTCTTTCTAAACTGATCTGTAGTTTCAACAAAATCCCAATCAGAATCCTAGCAATTCATTTTGTATATATCAACAAACTTATTATAAAGCTTATGTGGAAAAGCAAAATATAATAGTCAATATAATACCAAAAATTAATGAAGTCATAAGACTCATAATATTCAATTTTGAAGACTTCAAGCTGCAGCGATCAATAGAGTATTGAAATGCCAGTGAAATGAAAAAATAGATAAGTGACACAGAATATAGAGCCCAGAAATAGACCTACACAAATATAGCCAATTGATCTTTGCCAAGGAAACAATGAAAATTTGATGGGAAAAAGATAGTCTTTTCAAACAATATGCCAAAAAAATAAGACATCCATATGCACACTATCCTTACATCTTTAAGAAAATGGAACATAGATCTAAATGTAGAATGCAAAACTATAAAACTTCAAAAAGAAAACATAAAAAATCTGGATAACCTTGAATTTGGTGATGAGTTTTTAAATATAAAAATAAAAGCACAGTCTATGAAAAATATGATAAGTTGGTCTTGTTAAAATCAAAACTTCCTCTGAAAAAGACACTATTAAGTGTATTAAAATACAAGCTGTAGCTTAGGAGAAAATATTTGCAGAACACATATCTAACTTATACCCCAAACATATGAGGACTAAGTTTAGACTAAGAAAAAAACCCTTCGATTTTAAAAACAGGCAAAAGGTCTAAATAGCCACCTCATAAAGAAACATATACAAATGTTAAATAGGATATTTAAAGATGGCAAACTCACTTATCATTTAAACAGCAAATTTAAACAGCAATAAGATACTATGAGATACTTATTTAAATGGCTAAAATCCAAAAAAATTGACAAGACCAATTGCTGATAAGGATGTAGAACAGTAGTAGCCATTGATGAAAATGCAAAATGGTACTGTCACTTTGGAAGACCATTTTTGGCTGTTGCTAATAAACCTAAGGTAAGTCTCACCATATGATCCAGCAGTTGTGCTTCCAAGTATTTACTCAACTAATTTGAAAACTTATGCTTATGTTAAAACTTCATTCATATGTTTATTACACTATTATTCACCCCAAACTGAAAACAACCAGTATGTCCTTCAATAGGAAGATGGATAAAGAAACTCTAGGACCTCTATAAAAAATAAAATAAAATGGGATACTACCCAGCAATTAAAAGGAAGAAACTGCTAAACTTTAGAAGGATATGGATAAAGGTTAAGTGCATACTGTTAAGTGAAAGAAGCCCATCTGAAAAACTGCATTTGATAATCTGGAATAGACAAAAGTATAGGGATCCTGAAAAGATCATTTGTTGCCAGGAATTAATGAGATGTGAGAGGACTGAATAGGTGAAGCATAAAAAATTTTAGGGCAGTGAAACTATTTTATATGATACTATAATGATGGATACATGATACTATGCAGTTTTCAAAATTCATAGAAATTTATAATACAAAAGTGAAACTTAAAGCATGCAGATTTGTTACAAAATCAATTAGAAAACTGGGGGATTCCAGGATGGAATGAAGAATGTAAGACACTAATTGTATTACAAATGTGTGAAAAAACTTTCCTGAAAGGAGTGCTACGAGAAGATACTGACCAAACAACTTTGGAAATGGGTATAGTCAGCAAGACCAAAGACAAAGAGATCTGTACATAAGTACTGTGCTCTAGTTGATAAAGTCATTGCTCCCACAGTACTCCAGCAACAATTCTGATACTTCTGTGCCTACATGCTAGAATTAAAAATTAAGTAAATGAGTAGCAGATTGTAGAAGACAAGTTTCCTACTGTTGGAATGGGAGGTTAAACATTAACAATAGGAGGAAGCTAAATGTTCCATCTGCTAATGGATTAAAATTAAATTAATCACTATGATTCCTTTTTAGTTTTGGGACATATAAAAATATTTATAAATATGTGTATATACACAGATAAATTAAATATATATTTTTTCTTTTTTTAATTTATTTTTTAATTTTTACATATACATGTGTTTACTAGGTTTTCACTTTTTGTATATATATTTAATTTATATAACTTATATAATAATATATATGTATTATCCATGGTCAGGATCTAGAAACTATGACACATCAGTAGCAACAAAGCACACTCAGTGCCCGCTCTTGTGGTTTCTAGTATCATTCTCAACAACAAAAATAAAGAAAACAGGAGTTGCAGGCGGCACCTGTGGCTCAAAGGAGTAGGGCACTGGCCCCATAAGCCGGAGGTGGTGGGTTCAAACTCAGCCAAAAACTGTAAAAAAAAAAAAAAAAGAGAGAGAGAGAAAGAAAGAAAACAGGAGTCCTTGAAGCATTGACTGGTTTTCTGGTGGGAAAAGAAATATGACAGGCAAGTCTGATAGTGCCAGAAAGAAAGAAAGTGATCAAACAAAGAAAAAACAAAAACTGGTGAGTTTATGTTGAATGGACACAGAAATCAACAGAAAGAACCCCTAACGGCCAAAACGAGAAAAATCTAAGCAATGAAATAAAATAATAATAGATTATAACCCAAAGTAGAAAAATGAGGCCATATCCACACTAATTTAAGTAAATGATTGAATAAATTAAAGGAGGAAAGGACAAATCTCCATGACAGAAGAATTCCAAATAATTCATGTATTTTTTTTTTTTATTGAATGGTAACTATGTACATTAATGCATTTCTGGGGTACAGTATGTAATGTATGTATTCTTAAGGAGGTGAAGCCTCACTTCCTACTCCTTAAATATGGTCCGTGAAGAGGGATTTCCTTCCAAAGAGTACAGTAGGGAAAGAAGGGAAAAAAGAGTAAATTTACACTGGAGGATTTGACCAACACTACCTTAACCAAATGATCAAAAGGAACCTCAACATTGACAAGTGATGTTGACAATATACACCTTTGATATGATGTGAAGAAAATCACACTTCAGTGGCACTTCACCTCTGTGATCTTCTTCCTAAAAACACATAACACCAGCCTAGTCATAAAAGTTCTAGAGCAATCTCAATAGAGAGACATTTCTACAAAATGTATAACCAAAACTGTCAAGGTCATATAAACAAGCAAATGGGAGAAAATGTAATAGCTAAAAAGAGACTAAGTGTGAATTGAAGGATGGAAGGAGAATTTGAGAAAATATTTTTCCCATTTATTAAAGATGGAGGGTGGTGGTAGGAGGTTAGGAATGCAAGTAAGGAGAATCCTGAAAGATAATGAGGTAAAGGACAAAGGGAAGTTAGAACTATTGCTAAGATCTCGTCTCTGGAACAACCTCCTTCCATCACTCAGTCACTTCCTATGTTTCTGTTCTTTAACCTCCTCAGGATTCACAGACACTTGGCCTCTTTCTTTCTCCTTGTCAGCCCCCACTTCCCTTTTATTCTTTCCATCTACAGGCTGACCCATTATTTCAATGACTCTGTGGCCAATGTTCTCAATTTTCTCATCTTGCCTTCCTTGCAATCCTTTATCAATCGATAATCCTAGTCTTCTGTATATGGCTAGCAAAAGTCACCACCCATGGGTGGTGCCTGTGGCTCAAAGGAGTAGGGCACCAGCTCCATATGCCAGAGATGGTGGGTTCAAACCCAGTCCTGGCCAAAAACTGCAAAAAACTCCAAAACAAACAAACAAAAAAACTCATTAAAATAAAAAAATGTCACCACCCTGCATATTGCTACCAGTACAAATCCACAGACTTTAGTAAAAATAGAATCTAGAATATAGCATGCTTTCCATTCCTCAGCTTTCTCTCTTCAATGAAGTTATTTTTCTTCTCTTATAATAATTATTATCATTAAGTTGTCCTATGTTCATGTAAAAAATAAGTAGTGCATAAAATGAAAAGTCAAAGTATCTCTTCACTGTATTCCCCATCCCATAGTTATTTATACATTCTTCTAGCATCTTCTCAGCTAGCATAAACACTCACGGGGTCATACTTTATATAGTGTTAAAGGATTTCTTTTCTTTCTTAGTATATCTTAGATCGTTCCATATGTCTACAATCATATTTTCTTCATTCTTTTTAAAAACTACAAAACATCTGTTTCATGGATATACCATAATAATAATTTGAATTAGTCATTGACTGGTGAGCATTTCAGAATTCACCAGAGGCTGAATCTAAGTTTTATAATTTGTAACATGAGAAGGAAAATATTAATAATCCCAAGTAACTCAAGCTTTGTGAACAATGTTGGAAATTAAAGCAATTGCTAATATTTGTTATGAAAGAGAAATCGAACTGGATATTTCCCAGTATAGATCTTTTTCTCCTTCTGTTGAACTATTTCATGAGGTAAATTTTTAGAAATGTGTTCACGGAGGCAAAGTGACGAATGTTTTTATAGGGCTTGATGTGTACTGCCATTTCATATTTTTAAAAGTTTGTATCAGTGCCCCTTGTCAATAGCAATAAAATAATGGTTTATATTTCCCTACTGTTTATTTTGTACCTGTGTTTTATATCTATTAATTCACTTTTTCTCACAAAAATCATATAAGGTGAACATTATTATTATTGTCAACACTATTTGTTTAGATGAGAAAACTGAGACACAGAGAGAAAACTACTTGCCCAAAGTTACATAGCTGGATTTAAATCCAGATGGTGTGACTTTAGAGCTGGGCCACTTAATTATCACCTCTCATTGACTAATTATATGTGTTATAACTAACATTTAGATGTTATAATTGAGGGGGGCAATAATAGGCGAGTGTTCATGGCATTGAATACTATCTCCAAGTTACTTCATTTTTCTATTACTATTAACTGCACTGATTTTTTTTTTCTAAATATGTAACGCTTCACAAATTTGCATGTCATCCTTGCACAGGGGCCATGCTAATCTTCTCTGTATCGTTTCAGTTTTAGTATATGTGCTGCAGAAGCAAGCACTGCACTGACTTTTAAAAGTTTTTATTATTGTCATTATTTTGCTGTATGTGTATCCCCCTTTAAGGAAAATGCCTGTGTAGGTATATTTTCTGCAATAATCAGGAGAGATTACCTAGGTTTTGCACATCCCCTAATTCTCAGGGACAGGGAGGCAGACATCAAGTGCTTGCTCTCTTTGTGGTATCTCCTCTCTCGGCCTATTTGTTCCTGATTCTTGCTCTTGGATAAAGTAGACTCTTGAGCAGCTCCTACCAAATGTGTCACTCAACAGAAACCTTCTTGCTAACAGTTTCTTAGCTACAAACTAACATGTCAGTGACAGAGGCCCTAGGATGGTGAACTTTTTCTAATTTCCCCTTGGTGTCCTTCCTCCAAAGTGTCCACTGTGGTGCAGAAAGGGCAAAGTCTAAGCAAATGACTTTTCTCACAAGATGATGGAATCTCAAGGGACAAGATGTATACAGTCGAAATATATTAACAAAAACGTAAAATTTATTAAAGTTGTATATTCTGAGAAGGAAAGGGGGAGTTATTTTTTTTCTTTTACTCTGGGCCAGCTGGCATACACAGAACTACCGTGAGCAATTCATCCTGTTCATGGCAAACAATCACGTTGGCAATGTATAAGTGATTACACAGTCATTTGAGGGAGATTTTTGCTTTCAATCTTCACATCAGCAGGTTCCTCTACATTTTTGGCCACTTAGTATCACTTTTGTAATTGTAAATCTCCCTTACTTCTGCTTTATGGAAATACTGAGGTAGATCTGATTACTGTTAAAAAAAGAAAGAAAGAAAGAAAGAGCCACAACAATTACTCCTATGCTTGTTTGTCATGTGATTTTGCTACTTATTCCAATAAAGGTAACATGTATTATTCTCTCCTCTTGAACTTGGACTGGTCTTGTGGAGAACAGTCCAAGTTGAAGGAGGAAGTAATGTTGCATGATGTCTGGGTATAAGGCTCAAAGAACTTTGCATCTTCGTCTTTTGTTCTCTTTGAATGTTTCTCTGAGACCAACTTCACGTGAAGAAGCTCAGGCTGAATGTTTTGGCAACAGGCCAACCTGTCCTATCCGAAGTCAACCTAGCTCATCACAGTGACTGAGCCTGGGTAAGGTGAATAGAAGGACCATCTAGCAAACACACATAATTGGGAGAAATAATGAATCACACTTGGTTTTAATTCAGTAAGTTTGGGGTCAGTTTGTTATACGACAAAAGACAACTAAAACAAATGCTGCTTAAAATAATTTTTCCCTCTCATCTATATTGTAGTTTTATCATAACAATAAAGTCATTTGGGATTTGCCCAAGATATCAAGTGCAGGTTTTAAAACCACCACAATCCTTAGCAAATGGGCTTTCTGCTATTAGCTAAAGTGACAAGCTTGCCCTGACCATTTCTTCATGAAAACCTAAAAAGGGCTTAGTTTGGGCCAAGTCAGGGACCATTCCCACATCCTTATTGGCTTTACAACTACATAAAGGACTTTATTTTCTGCTTTTTTTCTCTTGCCTCCAGAGATATGGAGTTATCTTAGCTACTCCGAAGTAAGCAACATCTTTTCCCACCTAGACTCCAAAGCCACTATTTATTCATTAAAAGCTGCTATTATGATGTACCAATTATTGGGCTGGAGGATTCATTTAATGCAACCTTCACAACACCAAGATGTAGGTGACACTGGAGAAAATAAATCTTCTTCTCAAATGGTAACTGATAGGACTAGGAACTCCAATTCAAGGGCAATCTTATATTAGAAATTGTAAAACTTCCTGATTATTTTTATCTATCTTAACTTCTAAATTAAGAGAGCTCTAATTTCTTCAAAGGGGCTTTCCATGAAACCTGCAAATTTCATGATTCCTTACATGCAAAATAACATTCATAACTCTGAATGTCAATGTTGCTATCATTCACCACTTGTAGGGTTTAGATGAGGCTAAGGTCAGTTCTCAAATATTTCTCAATAAATTTTCTATGCTTTTAAACAATGTCAGAAGAAACTATAATTGAGATAAATAAGGTTTAGATGATGGAGAGGTAGGTGATTTTTCACTTGAATGGCTCCTTGAATCACTCAGAACTACTTTTTCTTCTTAACTAGATAATCCTTTCTGAGATAGGATTAATTTCTAGAAGGCAGTTGTCAGCAGGTTTCAAAAGCATACTTGCTGCATATAAATCCCCTTATCTGTAAGTGTCTTTCCACTGGGAGAAACTAAATATATACTATAAGTGTCATTTAAGAATCTGTGGTAACTAACTCCCAACCGTGCATGCTGCCTGAAGGACCATGTCCCTGCAGACCCATCCCCTGTGGTAGGCCAAGTCTCCTGCTGTAAGACAGCCAGCAGGCTATGCCCCTCCCCCCATCCTGTGCCACGGTGGGTCATGCCTTCACAGACCTTCAAAGGCACACTCCTTGTTTCTGTGTGCCAGCAACCAACCAGCAGAATAGACCCCCTCAGGCCCTGTATACTGACCAGTGGGACATGCCACCACAGCACCACATGACATCATGCCTATGACCCAGCCCTCCACCACAAACCTGCTAAGCACAAACCTCATCCTCACATACTGCTATTACACCTAGACCTGAATGGATCGAATGTCCATAGCCCTGAAGCCTACAGACACCACCTGGATAACCTCACCAAATAGCCACTAACACCACCATAGGGAAACCAGGCCAAACAATCTCCTGCAACATTTGCCTGACTGGAGAGAAATTTACCCAGTTCCCTGCTTGAGCTCCCAACTGTAATATAGGAGTCAACCCACCACTTCACATAAAGATCCCCTAGCACTGGCCCAGGTACTGTGACATGTCCAGGAACTGGCTAGGTCTATGCCACATCCTGGAACCCTCTACAGTCCCCAAACTCATCCAGGCACCAGCCAAGGTCACAATACCCACCTCTATGGAAAAGGATGTGTACAGCCCCTTCATCTCAAGCTTCCAACAGTGGCTTGGGGACCAATATATTAATGTGAATGAATATCTCCCAGCATCAGCTTGGATTGTGACAACCATAGGAGATTGGATGATACAAGAGAATAGCCACATTACACGTTCTCAGTGCATCTGTCCCTCTCTCGCCAGGTCAATCCTCTAGGAATAGGACACAAAAGCATTATCTAGGGACCTCTCCTCTTTCTCACAAAATAGGAGAATTCCCAGCAAAGCAGAACAGATGCTTTACAAATCTATCAGTCTCCTGAACTCAGAGAAGAGGCTTCAAATAAGAAGAAACCATCAAAAAGATTCTAGCAACAAGATAAAATAAGCTAGTTCAACATTCCCAAAGGATCACAATGTATCCACAGCAATGGAACACAACCAAAAGAAAATTATCATAATGTCAGAAATAAAATTCAAAATATCAATGGCAAATGAATGAATGAAATTGAAGAGAAAGGCAAAACTGACATAGAGAAGCCAAAATAAAAAAGTTTCTGGACATCAATGAAAAAGAAATGAAAAACTCACAAAGTGATAGACAACATAGGAAAGAATACAACAGAACTTCAAGAAATGAAATAATCATTTAGGGAATTAGAAAGTTCAGTAGAAAGCTTCCACTAGACCTAACAGAAGAAATAATTTCAGAGCTCGAAGAAAAGCTAAAACTAACCCAGTTAGTTTCAAATTAACCCAGTCAGCCAAAGATTCAAATAATAATAATAGAGAAGAATAAACAATCACTAAGGGAAATATAAAACTATATGAAATAACCCAATATCTGCATTATAGGTAACCTGAAATGAGAATAAGAAAAAGTAAAAGGCATGAAAACTTTACTCAAGGAAATTTACTGAGGAGAACTTCACATATATCACCAGAGATTCAGATATCCAGGTGCAAAATGGTCATTGAACATCTTGGAAAATTCACAGAAAACAGGACATCTCCAAAACACACAGTCATCAACCTGGCCAAAGTAAAAATGAGGGAGAAAATTCTGCAAGCTGGAAGATGAAAGCAACAACTGAACTACAAAGGAAAACCCATCAGGCTAACAGTCAAATTCTCAGCAGAGATCTTACAAGCCAGAAAAAAAGAGGCCCCATTTTTAAACTTCTTAAACAGCAAAACTTCCAGGCAAGAATTTTGTATCCTGCAAAATTAAGTTTTATGAAAGATGGAGACGTAAAGACTTTTCCAGACCAGCAAACACGAATGGAATTTGTCACTACTAGATTTTCCCTACAGGAAATTATCCAAAATGCATTATACATTAAAAAAAAAAAAAAAAGTTGCCAGCCAGTATAAAATTATTCAAACTTTATAGCTCACAGCTCTTATAAAGAAAATAGTGCAAGAGCAATAACAAAGCAATAAAGTATCATCCAACATGGTGAACAGAACAGCATACAACACACCAATACTAACACTCAACATGAATGGTCTAAAGGTCTCAATCAAAAGGCACAGACTGGATGAAGGGATTAAAAAAACCAAACCAATTGTATTTTCTGTCTTGAAGAAATACTTAACCACAGGACTCACTCAGACTCAAGTAGAGGGTTAGAAAAAATATTCTACACAAGTGGAAAACAAAATTGAATAGGTATAGCCATTCCCATATCAGAAAAATAGACTTTAACAATGCTAAAGAAAGACAAAGATGGTCATTATAAAATAATAAAAGGAGCAATTCAACAAGAAGACACAATAATGCTAAACATATATGCACCAAACACAGAAGCTCTCAGTTTCATACGGCATATTCTTTTAGATCTAAGCAAAGAAATGAACAATGTCATAATAACTTCAATGCTCTGTTGACAGACTAGACTGATGATTAAAGCAGAAATACAGGGTGTCCATAAAGTTTGTGTGCAATTTAAAAAAGTGTTCAATTGACATCCTGTATATAAAGAAACACTGGACTTACACAGGACTCTGGAACAAAAGACTCTATCAGACATAAACAGAATATTATCCCTGAAATTATTGAATATACATTTTTCTCATAAGCACATGAAAAAT